GGTCAGAGAAGTATAAATTTAGTTCTAATGAACTTTATATTACACAAGAATTACAATGGAGTTATTTAGAACTCTCTTCTGTATCTGGACACTCAGAATAATAGGAAACATATGAGATATTTTAAAAGTGTTTAGTGGGGCTGGGAGAATTGGCTCAGGAGATCAAAGCAGTTGTTCTTGCATAGGATCCAAGTTAGGTTCCCAGCATTCACATGGAGACTCACAACCATCTGTAACTCCAGTCGAAGGGTATTCAGCACCATCTTCTGACCTCCACAGGCAACAGGCATGCAAATGATAAACATACATACATGTAGGCAAAATACCTAAACACATAAAGTAAATAAATCTTAAAAAATAAAGACACTCAATAACACTTGTTGAGGGCTAAGGGTATAGCTCAGTTGGTATGGTGTATACTAAGCATGTGTGAAAATTTATTGTAGCTGAAAGTTTTCCTGTGTCCCACCCAGTCTGAAGCCACTCAGACCAAGTAAACACACAGAGGTTTATATTAATTATAATTGCATGGCCATGGCTCAAGCCTTTTGCTAGCTAGCTCTTACATCTTAAATTAGCCCATAACTATTAATCTATGTATTGCCACATATTCCATGGCTTTAACTGCATTCTATTACATGTTGCTTCTTGGGTGGCTCTCCCAGCCTTGTTCCTGTCTCTCTCCTTGCATTTCCCACCTGCCTCTAAGCTGCCTTGCCATAGGCCAAATGGTTTTATTTATCAACCAATCAGAGCAACACATATTTACAGTACAGAAAGACATTCCCCCATCAATTTACATTCTATCCCTAGCCTAATATAAGTGATATGAATGCATGGATTTGGAAACAACCATTTTGAATGAGGTAACCCAGATCAGAAAGACAAAAACTGCATATTTTCTCTTGTTTGTGGATATTATGTTTGAATCTATTGATATGTGCATCTCATTTGAAATAACCACAGGTCAAGAAATTAGTAAAGTGTCATGGGGTACTATCAGAAGACAGAAGATATAATACATTGATCTAAAGAAGCAAAGGGATATAGAATAGGAATGGTTAAATAGAGTTGAAAATTAGAGAAAAGGGTAAAGGAAAGAATAACTAACACTAAAGAACTCCTGAAAAAGTCAGGAAATACTACTACTGGAGAAGCTTCCTATAATATGGTAGTACATATGTAAAAAGAATGTAAATGTAGTTACCCTATAAAGGGGAAGCAATGATATTAATAGGTACCATAGGCTAACAAATAGATAGTCCAATGTCAGGAATAGATTACCCCTATTGAGGTTGTTGGTCAGGGACTCCCTCTAAATATTACAAGTTATTTTACAGTGTTATTGGTTATCTTCCATAACTTGACATAAGACAATATTGCAGAAGACATCACATACTTGAATTATAGAACATGAATAAACCAAGCTGGTATTGATGTGGAAACTTCAAACCTACTGGCTAGCTTTCATAGTACTAGAAGTTGCTATGTATGTGATTGGAAGAGAAAAGTAATTAACAATCCTATTGTGATCCCTATGAGCTACAATAATATCCAGCTTGTGATCCCTATGAGCTACAATAATAACCCGCTTGAAAAGATATGCCCACTGATGTACATATGTACAAATGTTATGGGAGTAACCACACTCTTTCTGATTGGATTTAAGACCTGCTCCACAAAATGTAATCCATACTTGGCACTGTAATGAGATGAAAGCCTGTGGGAGATAAATCATAGCTACTAGGGGGGAAACCTATTACTATTACTATTACTCTGCAAATGGAACCTTAAACCAATTCCTATTGACTTCTTGTTATATACATACATTACTGCATCTCTCAAACTATGTCTTTTTGCAATAGACAGCAGTTAACAGAGACCCACAACTTATCAAGGTGCAGAGAAAAAGCAATTGTGGAGTATCTCCCCCCCCACAAAAAAAAAATACCACTAAATGGGACACCTATATTGCGCTCTGATCATTGTGGAAGAGGGTATGGAAAGACTATAAGAGCCAGTGGCAGTGGATGAATACAAGGACATGGTGTTTTTCAGACACAAAGGGCTGATGTATATATGGACTCACTGTGTTGTAGCATTACACCCAAGATCTGTGTAAGCACAAGCAAGAGAAAATTCCAGCATGGATGGGGAAGGAGAGCATGAAATAACACTCCCCTAGCTGAAGAGCTATTGTCAATTGATATCTTCCAGGAAAGGGAGAGTTATTTTTCTTTAAGGGTATAGGCACTAATCGGTCTAACACACTCCAGTGGATGGTCACACAATTAAGAGTGTATTAGCAGCACTAACAGGTCTCGGTAGGTTTTACAAAAATAAAAATGGAATAACAATCTTGGGCTCTGCAAGAAAAAGAACATTCTCTGGCTTATTATTATAGTCCCAGAGCCTAGATTTTATATAAATGTGTAATTCTACTATGAAAATTAATGTAACAAATAAGAAATGGATGTGAAAACTTTACCTGGTGGGACCTACTGCCCTCAAACTCAAGGAAGCATTTCATTTTCCGAAAAATGATTTCACCAGACAAACACATATGAGTAAAACAAACATTTATGGGACAATCAATTTCTACCAATCTATTCATATTATAAAATATATTTATCAGATATACCTCAAGACTTAAGGTAGCTGTCAAGTTCACAGAATATAGCCAGCCCTTTGTATTTGACCCTTGTTTTCTGCCAGCATCACTTGAACTGTGAGGACATTTTCCAGTTCTGACAGTGCAAAAATTTTCCACCTGATGGCAGAAAGCCAAACATTTTCTTTCCCTTTGTGGCCACAAACAGATGGCTCATGGTTAAGTAGCTAATAAAGCAAAATTTACATGTACAAGTAGGTCCAACCACGAAGTGTTCATTTACGCTTATAATTGGCCTACTGATGCCAACAAGAGTTATTTAATCAAAATTTTTGAGTGATTGAGTATTTACATGCTATTTTATTTCTTTTTCAAAGTTGCAGATGTTTATTTTAACTCTTTTATGTATTAGCCTTGGTTGCCCATAAGAAAAACGAGTGAATTTTATATATGTGTATGAAGACATATGTCCACATATCCAAAAGGCAAAAGAGGAAGATAGCAAGGGAAAGAGAGAATGGAAGGAAGAGGGAGGAGAGTGAGATCGAGAGAGAAAGACAGGGAGGAGGAGGAAGAGAAAGAGTAGAAGGAAAAGGCAGGAGAAAGCAGACTGAGTGACTGACTGACAGCTAAAATACCTTGAAAGCTTTGCCAGTGCAAATTCTTAAGTGCTAAGTGAGCAGGCTGTACAATCAGGAAATGTTTGCAGCACAATAAGGGCATCCCTATGAGCCAGAGATGTGCCCACGTTACCGCTGAAGTCTAGGGCAGTTTCCCAGGGAATCCCCTACTGTTTAAGGCTGTCAGACTTTGCTTTCTCCAACACTTCAATGAGATTGAATGAATCTCACCAGCATTACAGAGGAGGGATTCCTTTAGAAACGATCACCAACTTAAGTGCAAATTTCATTCAAAAACACATTCACTGAAGCACCCAGAATAAGGCTGGACCTTATTTGGGCCCCAGGTCATAGAAAAAAACAAACAAACACACATATAATTAGCCATGGTTTGGTTTGCCTGTTTGTTTTTGTTTTCATTTTTTAATGTTTGTTTTTCCTTTCTTTGCTCCAATACTCTTAGATCTCAGAGTCATTACAGTTTCCATAGAACTCCTTTTATTTAAAAATAATTGTAGTAGCCTGGAAAGTCCCAAGCCTACTTCCATCTTCCCCTCCGCCTCACTGGATAGCCAAGGACTTTCTGGTCTACCTCTGTACAGGAATGGAGATGTTCTGGCTACCTGTCATTGATTGATCAATATTTTGGCAGGTTCTGTAAACATAAACTCACATCAATGCTGTCAGTCTAAATTATTTGCATAGCAAAGGTACTACCTCACACAGGAACAAACGAGGAAACAGAAAATCCCTCCCAAGGAAGCTCATTGCAGTTGAAAAACTAATTGGCTTATTGGAATAAACAAAGCCCACAACAGAAAAAAAGAAATAAAAAACCTTACTAGTAAAGTGGTGAAGATTTTTAAGGCTTAAAATGATTGTTGATTATTTTCAGTAATAACTATTTTTTAATTTTATTTTTAAACTTCATATATATTTACTGTATTTATATCAACTCTCCCTTTGCTCCCTCCAATATCTCCTGTTAAAGATATTTATTATTTCTATATATTAAATATATGTATATATGTATAAATGTATATGTGTGTCTATACATATAGCCTGTTGAATTCATATAGTGGTATATATACTGTTTAGGGCTCACCATATGGTATTGGGTAACTGGTTGAATGTTCATCCCTGAGGAAGACTGACTCTTTCTCTTCCAGCAGTCATTAAATGCCTATAGTTTTTCATCTAGATGTGGGTCTCAATTAGAGTTCCCCCATCCTCACTGCATGTCAACTGGATGGTGGTTGAAAATGCCAAGAAGGGAGCTGACCACTGAGCCTGGGTGCTGTAAAGAAGGCTAAGGAAGCAATGGAGAACAAGCCAGTAAGCAGAACTTCTCCATCGCTTCTCTTTCAGTTCCTGCCTCCAGGTTCCTCCCTTGAGTTCCTGCCCTGATGCCCTTCAATGATGGATTGTAAGCTGTAAGATAAAATAAAGCCATTCCTCCCAAAGTTGATTTTGGTCATAGACCACAGCCATAGAATGCAAAGGAGGGCAGTGCTCAGTGTGAAAAGACATTTTAATCTTCAGATTAAAGGTTTTTTTTATTCCTTGAATATGTGAGAAAAGAATACTTTATTCCCTGCCCCCTTGTGTGTTTCTGTGTGTGTGTGTGTGTGTGTGTGTGTGTGTGTGTGTGTGTGTGTGTGTGTGTATGGTAATGATGGTTAATCTTCTCTGCAGCCAGTTCTATTCAAAATGTATAAAATCACTTCTATGAAGACTTTGCTAATATCACTTCTTGCTGCTTTCTCTAGGAATGCCCCAGTGGGGTTGTTAATGAAGAAACTTTCAAGGAGATTTACTCGCAGTTCTTTCCACAGGGAGGTAAGTACAAATGTGGACTTGTTAACAAATTTGCAGAGTTAGAGTTATGCATGCAATCTTGAGTTTGGTTTAATCTTTCATAGTGTGGTTCTCCATTTTTAATCTTCATGTGAAAGAATTAATGCACAGCATAGAAGCTCATAGAACTTTGAGTGTATTATAAAAATAAGCTACATTCAAATTATTGAATCTCTAAAAGGCTATTTCTCAGTTTAATTCAAGTAATCTGGTATGCTGCTCAGCATGATGATTCTCACGTGCACACTGCTTTCTGACCTTTATTAGGGGACCTTAAAATGGCTTAAGGCTCTATCGAGCACATCGTGCTACTCATTTGATTTTTCTCAGCTCTCAAAATTAGGGCAAATGCAATTACCTTCAATTTACAGATGTGAAATCTGGGGCTTAGCGAAGTTAAATGATTCGATTAGGGTCACATATCAACTCAGTGGCAGATCTGGGTTATAACCTAGATTTTTTTTTTTGTATAGCTCTAGTTAGTGTACTTTCTGCTATCTTTTCCTTCCAGTAAATTCTTACTATAACCTCCCACCTGAGAAAATTAATAAAAATCTAGATACTATTTTAATAGTAATAAAAAACAGCATAGTATAATGGTGAGGCCTGCATGTTAGAGATGAGTCCAGAGACTCATAGCCTACTGTGTCTTCTCTAACTTGTTATTGAGACCAGTGTGTGCCCAGCTACATGAAAGGAGAAACCAGAGCAAAAGGATGTAGCCCCTCTCCAAATATATAATCCTATAGTCTCTTTAGCAGAAGACAATATAAAGCCAAGTCAATATAAAATATGGCTAAGTGCGGCTTCTGAGATGTGGAGTTAAAAATAGTACTATGCGAGCCAGCTACAGACTTAATTAGATGTTCTGCTGAATCATGGGCAATTAAAAAGAATCTAATATATGCCTAGCTCTGGAAAGCCTTCTCCTTCACCACTCAACCCCCTTCCCTGGGATTTCTCTTTCCTGTAAGTATGGAAATTAATGTGCAGAGAGACAAATTCACTTCTGGAGTACATACTTAAGTCATCCATAGCCTCATTATCCTCTCAGGAGTTTTTCTGTTCAGGATGATGTCTTTCAGATTTAGAGGGCAGCAGAGATCGCAGGGTATAGGTAAATGGAATGCAAGCAAAGAGATAGCATAAAAAACAAAGGTGAGAATTTGTGGGAAACTTACAGGATTTTAGTAATCAACTAAGTTGTATGGTTAAAGAAAAAGAGAAAGTGTTGGTGATAATATCCAGAAGTCTGTCATGGTTGCCAGGTAATTTGCTACAAGAAGATTTGGGATATAATGATCTCAACTTTGCACAAATTACATTTAAGTAGCCAAAGAGCATTTAATATCAACAAGAAATCAGTAGAAAATAGAATCAGAAGAGAAGTCAGAGAAAATGACAGAGATTTGGAGCTTACTAACATTGAAATTACTTGGAACGGTGTGTCTATATAAAGTAGAAAGCCTCATGAGTTGGGCATGAGGGACTTGAAGAAAATATATATCCACGAAGGCTACAGAATGGACAATCAGAGACACAGAAATAAGTACAAGGAAAATTGACAGTTCAGAAGGTAAGAAAATAGAGACATTAAATTGAGTATCTTCCAGGAAGGAAAGGATTTGAATACATCCTCAGGACACAGCAGCATGGAAAAGGACATGGAAGTCATTGTTGAACTTGATCTGCGCAGCTTTCATAAAGGGTGTCAGGCAAAAACAGGAGCCCAGCTTCAGAGGCTAAGTGGGTAAATGGGAAGCATGCAGACAATGACACCCAATAGAGAAGGTACTTGAAGACAACTAGTCAGGGAGAGGTAAGAGGTTAGAAGAACCCGAAAGAGGGCGCCAGGCAGATACGGAGGATGAACTTGTTTTTGTAACAAAGGCTGGAACTTTACCTACAAACAAAGGATCTTGCAAAGAGAGAACTTCAGTAGCTTAATACAGAGAGCTTATAACACATAGCACTCCCATCTCCAGGAAGGGGCATACCTAGTCCTTCACTTTACCTTTGAAATCTACTGAACACAGGCGGCAACTACTGCCTCTTCCTGTGCTTGTGGCCACAGTAGACTTTGCCATTTACCTGACTGTAACCTTTCTAAGGCACTTATCACTCAAAACAGCAAAACCAAACGATTTCATCTTCCAAAGGAAGTTCCACGGTATCTGACTGGCCTCTCTGGCTGGGATACTTCTTCCCTTGACCATGATAATGTTAATCATGAGATTTGTAACCAATTCCACCATTTTGAGTCAAATTTGAAGAAAGCTTTAAATCAAATTAAATCTCTGGAATTCCCAGCTGAGTGGTCCTGAGACATACGTTGTAGGTTTTTTTAAGGACAAACCCATATGGACACCATATTTCCCATGTGACTTAGCTGTTATTTTCGAAGAACTACAACTCATAGAATCCCAGGAATTTAACTAGATCCTGGGCAGGAGGGGCTTACAGGTTAATTTTGGGGTCTTACACCCCTGCCTTGGCACCCACCTTAATGGGTGGATCAAACCCTTGACACTGTGATGAGTACTTGTTTATATTTGGATCTAACAACCATCAGCTCACTGGTATCCAGACAGCAATTATCATCAAGATGAGGCATCAATGATAAAAGAGCCAACAGTAATTAGCAGAAGCAGAAGGGCCAACGGCCCTGTGATGGCTGACATCAGAGTTACTATCTAGAAGGAGCCTGGAAATGGATGGGGCACCAGTCATTTATTTTATCTCAGATACCCATTTTGTAATATTTCTTGGAGTACAACCACATTATAATCATGAATCGTTTGTATATAAATAAATTTTTTTCCTTAAAGTTACATAATACCTCTTTGTTCTGAATAAATCAGGCCAAGTGTCCTACCATATTGCAGAACTATTTCAGTTAATGAATTTACCTGTTGATAAATCTGAGCCCACTTTTCTGTATGCCCTTTGACAGCATAGGTAGCCATTCTGTTTCCTATGCCAGGAAGTTTCCTTTTTACTTAGCATTGCAGTCTGTTTGGCGGGAGCGAGAGATACTGTACTCTCTTCTGTTACTACTTCTAACTGAAATTAGGTCATCACTATCAGGCCCCAAGGAGGCTGAAAAACTAGCCAAAGGCTGAGCAATGGGGCATTCTTCAGAAGCATCTGCTTAGCTGACCCAGCTGAAGAGACAGGGAGCAAGCACATCAGCTAAACTGTTTTTCATCAGCTTTCAGCAAGTCCAGAGCTCAGCAGTTTGCAGTCCACAGATGATCCCTGGATGGTGTCTGTCAGACAAGTGGAAATATGTTAAAACAAATAAAGATCAGGGACAGGAGTCTTAATTAATTAGACTCCTTAATTTAGGAACTTAAAGGAAAACCTTACATTTGAAACTTTCAGGCCCACAGTCCTAGTAACTGGGCAAGGGTAGGAGTCTCAAGAGAAAGGGAGAGATCCAATTCTCAGGAATAGCCAGGTGTGGAAACATAGACTGTACTCATCTGGAGTCCATTTAGTCTGTGAGAGGTGGATCCAAGTCTTATGACCTCTTTGCCTCCTGAAACTTCCCGAAACCCACATTATAAAAAGCATGAACATATTTTCCTCTGTCCAGAGATCCAGATATATGGAGTGGACAGAGATGTTTTAGCCCGATTAAAAGCATCTTTAAGTCTATATTTAGAAGACAACCAAAGGAAATTTAAAGTCTTGAGCTTGTGACTGAATAGTAAATAGTCAGTGCTCTACTAGCTTATTAGAACTCCATTGACCAATGTTAAAATTCTAAACCTTTGAAATCTCAGTATGACAATAGCATAGAAAAGGGAAGAGAAGTTTTAAATATTTCCCATTTTTCATATACCTTAAATCATTTATATAACTTTACAACTTGCCTTTGTATATCATAAATCATTTTTCTGAGCCCTTTAGAACTTATTTAAGCTTTTATATCCTTAGACTTTTAAGTACCTTAGAACGTATTCTGAAACCCTCAGAACTTACTTTGAACCCTTTGTTTTCATCTAATCATTTTCCAGAGATTCAAGTAGTTGGTACTGAGAACAACCATTACAAAGCATGCCCCTTTAGTGAAAAGTTACAGCTGAAACCTGTTTATCCTTTAGTTTGAAGCCTGTTAGCAGGGCAAACCTCTTTGCCTTTTCTTAACGAGACACCTAGTAGCTTTAACTAACTAATGAACTAAGAAGGTGGCTGCATGCTGGGGATGTCTTTCTGTATGCTGTGAATGTGTTGCTCTGATTGGCTGATAAATAAAACACTGTTGGCCAGTACCCAGGTAGGAAGTGTAGGTGGGATAAATAGACAAGGAGAATTCTGGGAACAGGAAGGCTGAGTCAGGAGTTGCCAGCCAGATACAGAGGAAGCAAGATGTGAAGGCAGAACTGAGAAAAGGTACCAAGCCATGTGGCTAAATATAAATAAGAATTATGGGTTAATTTAAGTGTAAGAGCTAGTCAATGGTTAGCCTGAGCTAATGGCTGTGCAGTTTCAATTAATATAAGCCTCTGAGTGATTATTTTATAAGCAGCTGCAGGGTCCATGGGGCTGGGCAGGACTGGAGAAAACTTCAGCTACAGCTGCAGCCTTGAGATAAGGAGATGGTTGCCTGTTGCTTACAAGCTGACAAAGATACAGCTAACATAGCTGTCAACACCATCAAATATCTGAGAATGGATAAATTGTATAAACTATAGTGGAAAGCATCCATTACAATGACAGAAACCAGTCCAGAGTCCATTACCTGGACAGTCATCCCTATCCCCGGTGGCCTCCATGGCTTTGAGAACAGAGCTACTAGGACAGCATCAGTCTTCAGCTACCAGGCCCAGAAGATGAGAGGATTTTCTGTGAAGAAGGAACATGAGGAATTGACCTTTTGTTGTCTTGGGAAGGGGGGACAATCAACTCTCCAGTGTCTTGCTTGTCCACAGCTTGAATTGGGTTTTGGCAATAGACAAAGCATTGGGGTAGTTTTG